ATCTAAATTTTAGCTTCAATTCCGCGAAATCTATTAAAATCATTTAGATTTTTATTGAAAATCAAGCAAAAAGTTAAGAAAACACCCAAAAAAAATATTTTGGACCTAATTTTTTGTTCTGTTAATTCCAATAACAATATTTTTGTTTAAAGATGAATTAAATAAAGCAAAAATATTTCAAAAATGTAGCTGAAAAAAGTCTTATCACTGCAATTGCATTTCAGCAAATTTTTGCGATTAATTGAAGAAAATTTCAAATTTTAAAGTCACTTTAAAATAAGATAAAACTGTTCAAAATAACATATTTTGTGTCCAATTTTGAATTTTTTTGAAACGATTCAACAAAATCTGCTTAAAATGTTAGATTTTCATTAATAAATAAGCAAAAGAAAAACACTAAAAAGCCGAAAACGTATTTTTTGTTGGTATAGGTCTGAAACTAATGAAAATAACACAGAATTAAAAAAAAAAAGATAAAATTTTCGTTACAAAATGCACCAAATCGAAGCAATAAACGAAATAACACAATTTTTACTAAATCTTGCAATTTCATATCTTAATTTAAAAAAAAAACTCGAAAAATGCTATCTGAAAATGATCAAAATTAAATAAAAAAAAATTAAAATTTCATTAAAAAATGCACTAAATTGAGGAAACAAATCGAAACAACACATCTTATTTTATGTTTAATTTAAAAAATAACGGTAATAATTAAAATTAAAATATCCAAATTTTGCAATTTCTAGCTTTCACCCGGATTTTTAGCTTTTATAAAATCGTCAAAAACTACACAAAACAGCCGTAATAGTTATTTGTATTACAAGGGAGGAAAGTGTATCTTTTCCTCCCCCAGGGGGTGTCAAACACATAATTTTTTCTATGATCCAGCAAGAAAAAACTTTAACAATTTCTCGATTCCTAGTTTTTATAGGGGAGGTAAATTTATTATTACCTCCTTGAGAGACTACTTATATTTTATCGTAATTTTGACACATGAGGGAGGTAATTGGTCACTTTTCTTTCTGAAATTAGGGTGGGAAAACTTACTTTCTGTTAGGGTCGTTAAACCAACTGAAAAAATTTAATTTTTCATACACAAAAAGCCTTATGAAAAGTGACAGATGGGCAATAGAAAAGCAACTCAACGCAAAAAAGTCAGTGGCGTAGCTTGTAAAAAACCTCGATATTTCACGAAAAATTTCACTCATTGGGAGTATAAAAAACGCATAAAATCCAAAAATACGCTGAAAAATATGCTCATCTTGTTATTATTGATTCTTTTGGCAAACTCTCGGCTCCATTTCTCAGAGAAAAACTTTGAACTTTTGATTAAAAATAATTACGTAGCGCCTACTACAGAGTGGTTATAAATGATTTTCATGTAGCCAGCTATGAATTTTCCATGTAAAATAAAAAATGCCGCTTTACGAAAAAGGGGCACGTACTTGTTTTAACTCAAAATTAAAAAAATCGCCGTTTACTAAGCGTCCACTTCAAAAATAGACTTCAATTATAAACTTGTTTTCTTCCAAAGTATACATTATTATCAATTATTATTGGAAATTAGTTGAAACAATAAAAGTTTAATTAACAACAATTTATTATTAATTAATAAGTGACACTAATGACAGAACTACAGCTTTCAAAAAAGTAGAGCGGCACAAATAAAGTTACATGCAAGAAAATTCCAAAGCTGGCTAGATGAAAATCATTTATAACCACTCTGTATGTATAATAATGCAGTCCACGTTTCAGTTTTTTGTTGCAAAATGCGTTTTGCAGCTGACACAGCCTACTTAAATTGAATTCTTTGCACATTTAACGACATCCGGAAATTCAACCAGTTTTGCAGGATTAGATCGTTACGACTTAGCTTGCTAGATGTCGTGTCTCTTTTGATTAATTACTCTCGAATTTAGCCTTTTTGATCATCAAAACGAGTTTTTCGGGGTTTTCCCCCGGACTAAACAATTGTTTAGATCACCGGAACACCGGAAGCGGTTTCGAGGGGTTAGCGTGACGAGTCCATCTGTCAAAACGGAAGCTGTCGTGGAGCGTGCGGCGGCGGCCCGAAGGGGACGAAATCAATACTCTGCGGTTGGGGCAAAGCCGCGGGGGCGGCGCGCGGGCACATACCAGTAAATTACGCGACAGGGACGGATCCAGGTGCAAAAATTTGCCCCCATTTCTGCCGACTTGCGACGCCACTGTCTTTTTTTCATCACTTAAACTATTATCTTGTCACCTAGCAACCGTAACTAAGTGACAATCTATCATGACATTGTTGCCAGGCAACCAGTGTTTTAAAACGCTCTTTACCCAGTGGCGTGCTTTTATTTTATTTTTTTTTGTTAATTACATAGAATAGAAACAAATTTTTTCCCACATCTGGTCTATAAAATGTTGAAATCATCATTTATGGAAACATTCAAGCGAAAACCAGTTTGTTAATGATATGATAATAATATGTATGATTTATAACACTGTTAATAACATGTCGGTTCGAATTATAATTTGTTCTATGTATGAAAAAACATCATAAATAATTAATTAATTAATAATTTTTTTTTTCAGTTGATTGAATTAAATAATTTAAGTAATTTTTTTTATAGGATGTTTCGGACGTGTGTATTGGCACCAGTGTGGGAACCATCACCGAACCCGATTGTTTAGGCCCTTGTGAACCCGGTACCAGTGTCACGCTTGAGGGAATCGTATGGCACGAGACTGAAGGAGGTGAGTTTGAAATTAAGTTGGCAACACTGACTGTATAAGATCTAAGCCAAAAGAATTTTTTAATGCGTGTTTTTTGACTAGTTATTTTGATCATAGTGACCTGTGAGTTTGGCAACTATGACTAGATATTCAATGTTGCCAATTTAATTTTTAAGTCAAAACATTTTCAGTTTTTTTTGCTTTTCTTTCGACTCTTTTTGATTATATGTATAGTGGACTGTGAGTTTGAAATTAAGTTGGCAACATATCAATGTTGCCAATTTAAGGCCTAAACCAAATGTTTTAAGGTGCATTGTTTTTGATTATTTACTTCGATCATAACGACCAGTAAATTTGAAATTAAGTTGGCAACTTGACTAGATTTCAATGTTGCCAATTTAAGTTTTAAGTAAAACAATTTTTTGGGTTTTCTTGCTTTTTTTCTATTCTTTGTTAGTTTGAAATTGAGTTGGCAACACTGACTGTATATCAATGTTGCCATTTTCACTTCTAAGCCAAAAGCTTGTTTTTTCAACTATTTACTTCGATCATAACGACCTGTAAATTTGAAATTAAGTTGGTAACTATGACTAAATATTAATGTTGCCAACGTAATTTCTAAATCAAAACAATTTTTGACTGAAGGAGGTGAGTGTGAAATTAAATTGGCAACACTCACTGTTAAGGTTTAAGCTAAAAGAATTTTTTAATTTGTTTAAGGTGTTTTGTGGTTATTTACTTTGATCATAGCAACCTATGAGTTTGAAATTAAGTTGGCAACTATGACTAAATATTAATGTTGCCAACTTAATTTCTAAATCAAAACAATTTTTGGGTTTTCTTGCTTTTCTTTCTACTCTTTTTTATCATATGTATAGTGGACTGTGAGTTTGAAATTAAGTTGGCAACATCTATTGTATATCAATGTTGCCAATTTAATGCCTAGGTCAAAGGAATGTTTAAAGGTGGCTTGTTTTTGACTATTTATTTCGATCATAACGACCTGTAAATTTGAATCTAAGTTGGCAACTTGACTAGATTTCAATGTTGCCAATTTAATTTTTAAGTCAAAACAATTTTTTGTGTTTTCTTGCTTTTCTTTATACTTTTGTATGGTGGACTGTGAGTTTGAAATTGATTTGGCAACACTGAACGTGTATCAATGTTGCCAATTTAAGGTCTAAGCCAAAAGAATCTTGTAAGGTGGCTTGTTTTTTGGTTGTTACCTGTGGGTTTGAAATGGCAACTATCACTAAATATTAAAGTTGCCAACTTAACAATTTTTTTGCTTTCTTTCTACTTTCTTTGATCATGTGTATAGTGGACTGTGAGTTTGAAATTGAGTTGGCAACATTGTCAGTGTTGCCAACTCAATTTCTAAGTCAAACAATTTTTTTTAGGTGTTCTTGTAGTCAATGTTACTTGGAGAGGAAAAACCTACGTTGGGACATTATTGGACTGTACTCGCCATGACTGGGCGCCCCCTAGGTGAGACCCCTCTTAAAAATTAACCCCACGGGATACTTAGTCAATTTTTTCTGTTGTTATATATTTTTTGTAATGTAATTTCTTATGTAAATACAAGAGTTAGTTTCTAAAATTGTTTTTTTATTTTGTGTGGCCATTTTGTGTTTTTTGGGGTTTCTCCCGGGACTGTAATTTTGACGTTTGTTTATTTCGCAGATTCTGTGATTCTCCCACAAGTGACCTGGACAATCGCACCCCCAAAGGACGAGGTAAGAGAGGCCGTTCCGCCCCC